ATATAACTTCCATTCTATTATATGAGACCAAGAAACCAAAAATACAACAAAATTTGTAAAAAAAAAAAAAAAAAACACCATAAAGTCACTGTTTTAAACCAAAAATACAGTCACAGTTTTTCCCCCATTATGAACTGCTTGCTGCAGGAATTTTTTTTATATGGCGCACACTTACTGCATAGACCCATTCTCTCATATCTAGGCTCAAATTTATGGCTCACAGCTTATCTGAGTGAGCTGAGCTCACGGCATAGAACTACGGCTTCAAAACCATACAACTACGGGACTGACCCTCAAAGGGTTAATTGACGGTCTACTGTAAACATTTTTCAGTGTATATACAAATTTCTCTGCTAATTGACATCTTGAATGACTTCACATATATATAATATTAACCCTTTCACTGTCAGTGCCATAGTACTACAGCTTGCAAACCAGTGTTGGCGCCATAGTATTACGCCAAAATTAACCATACCACGGGCGGGGATAGAACCCGCGATCAGAGTCTCAAAACTCCAGACCGTCGCGTTAGCCACTGGACTAGTGTCATTACGATTTCGTAAGTCATGTTAACGGCTTTGAGGGGACTTGAGCTAGAGTTCATCACGGCCACGCTAGCTGAAGATTCGTCTGTAAAAACTTGCATTTGGGGTCACAGTGGTGCCTATGCTAACCTTCCTATGGTGTAGAAATATACCTAGTTGGACGAATCTTATTGTGGCTAGCTGGTCCAGTGGCTAACACGACGGTCAGGAGTTTTGAGACTCTGATCGCGGGTTCTATCCCCGCCCATGGTATGGTTTGTTTGCAATCGTGTCATTACGATTTCGTTAGTCACGCCAAAATTCTAGTAGCTTCAAATTCAGCGGGAGAAAGCTGGTAGACCTACAGGTGAGAGAATGGGTCTGTGTGGTCAGTGTGTGCAGTATAAAAAAATCCTCCAGCACGCAGGGCACAATGAAAAAAAAAAAAATTCTGACTGTTTCTGGTTGAAAACGCAGACTTTGAGGTGTATTTTCGCATCGTATTTATGGTTGTATTCTCATTTTTTAGCCTCATTTGATAGAATAGAAGTTATTTTACAGAAATTGAGATGGTTCTGATTGGTTTCACGATAAAAAGTACCTTGAAATTGAACTCAGAGTAGCGTAAATGATTTTTGCCAATGTTCAGGAGTAAACAAATGACGTCACCATCCATTACGTGTCCAACTGGCCAGTCTAATACGCAGTTACGAATGGGTTGACATTATTTATATAATTAGTATTACAATAATGCAATATTCTGCATAACAGTAAATCTTCTATTTCTTGTGTGAATAAAAATTCAAAATAGAAAGCAAGAGTAATATAAGAGGGGCCTAGAGACGTGACTAGTGAACAGAGAAAATGTTATTTTAATGCCAGGAATGTCTGCATTGTTTATTCAGGAGCCTATTTTGAAATTGGCATCGTCTGAAATTTATAAGAAAATGGCCAAATAATCAATTTCTGACCACTTTTTTGGGTAGTTGAAATCGGTAAATAGGCGGTTTTTTGTACCCAATTGATAGAACAAATGGGGTTCCAGCGAAATAGCTACAAGTTTGGTCAACTAAAACAAAGGAATTGGCCAAAAATAGGGCTCAAAATGGGTGAAATCACCAATGCGTATATATTGCTGAGACCTCTAATTTCACAAGTGTAATTCCGTAAATTTTTCATCAAATTTCGTACTTTTGGTGTCCTTACCATCTGGAAAAGATTCTCTATCATCACACGGGAAAAAATAATTCAGTCTTTAAATTCTTCGACACTGAGAGCAAGTTTGAGAGCAGGAGTCTCGACAATGCAAGGGTTATATATTCACGAATACTTGATAGTGCCTGTATCTGAAGATTACCATCACCCTGAGTAGTTCACCAACCTGAGCACTTCACCACCACCCTGAGTAGTTCAACACCACCCTGAGTACTTCACCACCACCCTGAGTAGTTCAACACCACCCTGAGTACTTCACCACCACCCTGAGTAGTTCAACACCACCCTGAGTACTTCACCACCCTCCTGAGTAGTTCAACACCACCCTGAGTACTTCATCACCACCCTGAGTAGTTCAACACCACCCTGAGTACTTCACCACCACCCTGAGTAGTTCAACACCATCCTGAGTACTTCACCATTACCCTGAGTAGTTCAACATCACCCTGAGTACTTCACCACCACCCTGAGTAGTTCAACACCACCCTAAGTATTTCACTACCACCCTGATTATTATTATAATCAAAAAGAAGCGCTAAGCCACAAGGACTATACAGCACTACCACCCTGAATACTTCACCACCACCCAGAGTACTTCACCACCACCATGAGTAGTTCAACACCACCCTGAGTACTTCACCACTACCCTGAGTAGTTCAACATCACCCAGAGTACTTCACCACCACCCTGAGAACTTCACCACCACCCTGAGTACTTCAACACCATCCTGAGTAGTTCAACACCACCCTGAGTACTTCACCACCACCCTGAGAACTTCACCACCACCCAGAGTAGTTCAACACCACCCTGAGTACTTCACCACCACCCTGAGTACTTCACCACCACCCTGAGTACTTCACCACCACCCTGAGTACTCCACCACCACCCTGAATACTTCACCACCCCGAGTACTTCACCACCACCCTGAGTACTTCAAGATCACCACACCCTGAAAATTTCACCACCACCCTGAGTACTTCACCACCACCCTGAGTACCTCACCACCACCCTGAATACCTCACCACCACCCTGAATACCTCACCATCACCCTGAGTACTTCACCATGCTGAGTACTTTACCACCGTGAGTACTTCAAGATCATCACACTTAGAACTTCACCACCATCCTGAGTACTTCACCACCACCCTGAGTACTTCACCACCACCCTGAGTGCTTCACCACCACCCTGAGTACTTCACCATCACCCTGAGTACTTCACCACCACCCTGAGTGCTTCACCACCACCCTGAGTACTTCACCATCACCCTGAGTACTTCACCATCACCCTGAGTGCTTCACCACCACCCTGAGTACTTCACCACCAACGTGAGTACTTAATAACCTCCCTGAGTACTTCACCACCCTGAGTACTTCAAGATCACCACCCTGAGTATTTCACCACCATCCTAAGTACTTTAAGATCACCAACACCCTGAGTACTTCAAAAGGTAGGTAGTACCTCCCTAGATGGTAGTACCTCCCAGGATGGTTGTACCTCCCAGGATGGCAGTATCTCCCTGGATGGCAGTACCTCCCTGGATGGCAGTACTTCCCTGGATGGCAGTACTTCCCTGGATGGCAGTACCTCCCTGGATGGCAGTACCTCCCTGGATGGCAGTACCTCCCAGGATGGCAGTATCTCCCAGGATGGCAGTATCTCCCAGGATGGCAGTATCTCCCAGGATGGTAGTACCTCCCAGGATGGTAGTACCTCCCAGGATGGCAGTACCTCCCAGGATGGCAGTACCTCCCAGGATGGTGCTACCTCCCAGGATGGCAGTACCTCCCAGGATGGTAGTACCTCCCAGGATGGTAGTACCTCCCAGGATGGTAGTACCTCCCAGGATGGTAGTACCTCCCAGGATGGTTGTACCTCCCAGGATGGCAGTACCTCCCAGGATGGTTGTACCTCCCAGGATGGTTGTACCTCCCTGGATGGTAGTACCTCCCAGGATGGTAGTACCTCCCAGGATGGTTGTACCTCCCTGAATGGTAGTACCTCCCTGGATGGTAGTACCTCCCAGGATGGTAGTACCTCCCAGGATGGTAGTACCTCCCAGGATGGTAGTACCTCAGAGGATGGTAGTACCTCCCAGGATGGTAGTACCTCCCAGGATGGTAGTACCTCCCAGGATGGTAGTACCTCCCAGGATGGTAGTACCTCCCAGGATGGTTGTACCTCCCAGGATGGTTGTACCTCCCAGGATGGTAGTACCTCCCAGGATGGTTGTACCTCCCAGGATGGTTGTACCTCCCAGGATGGTAGTACCTCCCAGGATGGTTGTACCTCCCAGGATGATTGTACCTCCCAGGATGGTTGTACCTCCCAGGATGGTTGTACCTCCCAGGATGGTAGTACCTCCCAGGATGGTAGTACCTCCCAGGATGGTTGTACCTCCCAGGATGGTTGTACCTCCCAGGATGGCTGTACCTCCCAGGATGGCTGTACCTCCCAGGATGGTTGTACCTCCCAGGATGGTTGTACCTCCCAGGATGGTTGTACCTCCCAGGATGGTAGTTCCTCCCAGGATGGTTGTACCTCCCAGGATGGTTGTACCTCCCAGGATGGTTGTACCTCCCAGGATGGTTGTACCTCCCAGGATGGTTGTACCTCCCAGGATGGTAGTACCTCCCAGGATGGTTGTACCTCCCAGGATGGTTGTACCTCCCAGGATGGTTGTACCTCCCAGGATGGTTGTACCTCCCAGGATGGTTGTACCTCCCAGGATGGTTGTACCTCCCAGGATGGTTGTACCTCCCAGGATGGTTGTACCTCCCAGGATGGTTGTACCTCCCAGGATGGTTGTACCTCCCAGGATGGTTGTACCTCCCTGGATGGTTGTACCTCCCAGGATGGTAGTACCTCCCAGGATGGTAGTACCTCCCAGGATGGTAGTACCTCCCAGGATGGTTGTACCTCCCAGGATGGTTGTACCTCCCAGGATGGTTGTACCTCCCAGGATGGTTGTACCTCCCAGGATGGTTGTACCTCCCAGGATGGTTGTACCTCCCAGGATGGTTGTACCTCCCAGGATGGTTGTACCTCCCAGGATGGTTGTACCTCCCAGGATGGTTGTACCTCCCAGGATGGTTGTGCCTCCCAGGATGGTTGTACCTCCCAGGATGGTTGTACCTCCCAGGATGGTTGTACCTCCCTGGATGGTTACTATCAACTTACTGATATAAAACAGATGTGCAGCACAATTTTGTTTAATGAAGGGATAAAAAACAAGTAAAAAAGTATCATTGACCTGAACTAACCTGCTGTTGCTCCAAGTATTCTCTGAGAGCGACTCTCTTCTCTTGCAATCGTTGAAGACGCAGCTGTTCTTCCTTCTGTGCCGTCAGTGTGTCATCCTCCAGCTTGTCGTCGCTGATGATGTCTCGGATGTTGCGTCGGAGGTTTTTCACTTTTGGCTTGGCACTCAGTCCAGTGACGGCTCCACTGCGCCGCCGGATTTTGCGCCGTCTCGAATCCTCATCGGAATCGGAGTCATCGCCTTCATCATCGGAGGATTTAGAATCGTCTCTCCTCCTCCTCTCCCTGTCTCTGTCCCACTCCTCATCATCGTCTGATATATTTTTACGACACTTGCGCTTGATTTTGGGTGGTGGAGCAATGACATCAGAGCTTCCACTAATGTGTCGTCGTTTTGCTCTTAACCTTCTAGTTTTATTATCAGTGTCATCATCGCCAGCATCACTGCCACCTAAACGTTCTCTGTCAGAGTCCATACCACCGTCCTGACTGCCATCGTGGCTCTCTGCTACCTTCTCACTTTTACACTTTCCACTGTCACTGTTCTCCCCACCACCTCCACCATCATAATTACTGTCTGCACTGTTTTCTTCCGCCCGCAGCGGACTACTAACGTCATTGTTTTCACAGCTACTCTCGGCTTTACTGCCCGGCCGACTGCCGTCCTCGTTTCTACCTTCACTGTCGTCTCTGTGAGAATCGGGCGGGGGAGTTCTTGCACTATCTGCACCAATATCACTCTCGCAAAAATCGACACACTCATTTTCCATGAGCTGTTCACCATGTCCATCCCTACTACATCCGTCCTTCACTGACTGATCCTCATCCACTTTCTCAGAGTCACACGAATTTTCGCTGAACCTAACATCGTCAACTGTGATCATCTCCTGCGGTGCAGCCTCCACATTGGCATGCGGTGACACCCGGTCCACTCTGTCCAACGCATTGTCCGATGGGTGGTTGGAGGAGTGGCCGTCCTCACCGTGGGTGCGAGAAGAGCAATCTGGCTCCGGTTGCTCCTGGGGGCCATCATCGAGCCCCAGAGGATCAGCCAGAGGGTCCGTCAAGGGCTCGTCCGGCCATGCCGGTACCTTCTCGTCCTCACTCGTACTCTGCTGATCCATACTTGTACTCTACTTCACACACCCTGCAATCACAATCAAGAGGATTAATTATACACATCTCCATGTAGTCAAGAATGTATACACCAACACAAATCTTTATAGGACAGTGTATATTTGAAAACGTACTTATATACACATTTGGGTGTGCACACGTGCACCTACACACCATTTTGTGTACACACACACACACACACACACACACACACACACACACACACAGGAAGGCAAGGACGAATGAAGCCAAACTACAAGAAAGGGGACTACACAGGAATGAGGAACTTCCTGAACGGTTCAGTGGGACAGAGAACTGGCAGAGAAGCCAGTTAATGAGATGATGGAATATGTAGCAACAAAGTGCAAGGAGGCTGTGGAGAGGTTTGTACCCAAGGGTAACAGGATTAATGAAAAAGCCAGGATGAGCCCATGGTTCACCCAAAGGTGCAGGGAGGCAAAAACCAAGTGTGCTAGGGAATGGAAGAAATATAGAAGGCAAAGGACCCAGGAGAATAAGGAGAGCAGTCGTAGAGCCAGAAATGAATATGCACAGATAAGAAGGGAGGCCCAATGACAATATGAAAACGACACAGCAGCAAAAGCCAAATTGGACCCAAAGCTGTTATACAGCCACATCAGGAGGAAAACAACAGTCAAGGACCAGGTAATCAGGCTAAGGAAAGGAGGAGGAGAGACAACAAGAAATGACCGTGAAGTATATGAGGAACTCAACAAGAGATTCAAAGAAGTGTTCACAGAGGAGACAGAAGGGGCTCCAGAAGGACGGAGAGGTGCGGCACACAACCAAGTGCTGGACACAGTACACACAACCGGGGAAGAAGTGAAGAGGCTTCTGAGTGAGCGAGATACCTCAAAGGCAATGGGGCCGGATAACATCTCTCCATGGGTCCTAGGAGAGGGAGTAGAGGCGCTGTGTGTGCCCCTAACAATAATATTCAATACATCTATCGAAATGGAGATTGCCTGAGGCATGGAAGACAGCAAATGTAGTCCCAATCTTTAAAAAAAAAAGACAGACATGAAGCACTAAATTGCAGACCAGTGTCACTGACATGTATAGTATGCAAAGTCATGGAGAAGATTATCAGGAGAAGAGTGGTGGAACACCTAGAAAGGAATGATCTCATCAACAGCAGCCAACATGGTTTCAGGGATGGGAAATCCTGTGTCACAAACCTACTGGAGTTCTATGGCATGGTGACAGCAGTAAGACAAGAGAGGGTGGGTGGATTGCATTTTCTTGGACTGCAAGAAGGTGTTTGACACAGTTCCACACAACACAAGAGATTTGTGCAAAAACTGGAGGACCAAGCAGGGATAACAGAGAAGGCACTACAATGGATCAGGGAATACTTGTCAGGAAGACAGCAGCAAGTCATGGTACGTGGCGAGGTGTCAGAGTGGGCACCTGTGACCAGCGGGGTCCCACAGGGGTCAGTCCTAGGACCAGTGCTGTTTCTCGTATATGTGAACGACATGACGGAAGGAATAGACTCCGAAGTGTCCCTGTTTGCAGATGACGTGAAGTTGACGAGAAGAATTCATTCGATCGAAGACCAGGCAGAACTACAAAGGGATCTGGACAGGCCACAGACCTGGTCCAGCAATTGGCTCCTGGAGTTCAACCCCACTAAGTGCAAAGTCATGAACATTGGGGGAGAGCAAAGAAGACCACAGACAGAGTACAGTCCAGGGGGCCAGAGACTACAAACCTCACTCAAGGAAAAAGATCTTGGGGTGAGTATAACACCAGGCACATCTCCTGAAGTGCACATCAACCAAATAACTGTTGCAGCACATGGGTGCCTAGCAAACCTCAGAACAGCATTCCAACATCTTAACCCTTTCAGGGTTTCGGCCGTACTAGTACCGCTTACGCACCAGGGTTTTTGACGTACTAGTACGCCTAAATTCTAGTGCCCTCAAATCTAGTGAGAGAAAGCTGGTAGGCCTACATATGAAAGAATGGGTCTATGTGGTCAGTGTGCGCGGCATAAAAAAAATCCTGCAGCACACAGTGCGTAATGAGAAAAAAAAAACTTTGACCGAATTTTTGGATTAAAACAGCGATTTTGCACTGTATTTTCGTATGGTATTTATTGTTGTATTCTAGTTTTCCTGGTCTCATTTGATAGAATGGAAGACATACTACAGAAATTGAGATGATTTTGACTGGTTTTACAAAGAAAAGTACCTTGAAATTAAGCTCAAAATAGCAGAAATGTTCGATTTTTACCAAAGTTCAAAAGTAAACAAATCATGCTATGCGTCCAATACACCTCAACTGGTGAGTCTAATATTCTTTCATAAATGTGCTGACATTATTTATACCATTTCAACACTAATGCAGTAGTCTGCATAACAGTAAATCTTCTATTTTTTTGTGAGAATAAAAATTCAAAGTGGAAAGCAAAAGAAATGTAAGAGGGGCCTGGGGACGTGACTAATGAACAGAGAAAATGTTATTTTAGTGCCATGAATATCTTTCTTGTTTATTCTGGACCCTATTCGGAAATTGGCATCTTTTGAAATTTGTGTGAAATTGGCAAAATTGCGAAATTCTGACCACTGTATTGGATAGTTGAAATCGGTAAATTGGTGGTTTCTTGTACTCATTCGATAGAAAAAATGGAGTTCTAGCGAAATAGTTATGATGTTTGTCGCAAGTACAGTGGAATTGGCCGAAAACAGGGCTCAAAGTGGGCAAAATCGCCGATGCGTAAACATCATCGAGACCGCTAACTTCGCGAGAGCATAATTCCGTAAGTTTTCCATCAAATTTCATACTTTTGGTGTCATTATGATCGGGAAAATATTCTCTTTCTTTTCATTGGATTTTTTTTTTTTTTAAATTTGGGCAACCCTGAGAGCAAGTCTCTGAGAGGGCCTGTCGACCCTCTACACACCTCTACATGTGTATCAGGGTTGGCACAGGACTAGGTAAGCCACTTTTTCTTAACCTGGGCTTTTAAGAATCCCACTTGAAAATGCCCACTAAAATACCAAACCAGGTGGGATTTTTTCTTTAGTCAAAATTGGCAACATTCATATAAGAAAATATTTACCAGTTAAATTTATGTACACGATTACCAGTTAATTTTAAGTACATGTTGGACATGAAAAATCCTGATCGGTAGCTATTCAAATGTTATATTTCATAAATATAATATTTAATACAAAAAAGTATTATTACTGAATTTAAAAATGTAGTTGTATTCATATAAATAAAACACAGTTCCAGAATATTTGTTAAATAATTTAGTAAATATTTATTAAATATGTGTTAGTAAATAAAAGCCGATATTAACCCTTTGAGGGTTTTCGTCGTACTAGTACGTCTTACGCGTAGGGGTTTTTGACGTACTAGTACTCATAAATTCTAGCGACCTCAAATCTAGTGGGAGAAAGCTGGTAGGCCTTCATATGAAAGAATGGGTCTATGTGGTCAGTGTGCACAGTCTAAAAAAAATCCTGCAGCACACAGTGCATAATGAGAAAAAAAAAACTTTTTCCATTTTTTTTTAATAAATCAGCGACTTTGCAGTGTATTTTCGTATGGTATTTATTGTTGTATTCTAGTTTTCTTGGTCTTATTTTATAGAATGGAAGACATATTACTGAAATTGAGATGATTTTGACTGGTTTTACAATGAAAGGTGCCTTGAAATTGAGCTCAAAGTAGCAGAAATGTTCGATTTTTACCAAACTTCAAAAGTAAACAAATCGTGCCAAGCGTGCAATACACGTCAACTGGTGAGTCTAATATTCTTTCACAAGTGCACCAATAATATTTATACCATTTTTTACACTAATGCAGTAGTCTGCATAACAGTAAATCTTATATTTTTTGTGAGAATAAAAATTCAAAGTGGAAAGCAAAAGAATATAAGAGGGGCCGTGAGACGTGACTAATGACTAGAGGAAATGTCATTTTAGTGCCAGGAATGTCTTTCTTGTTTATTCTGGACCCTATTCCGAAATTGGCATCTTTTGAAATTTGTGTGAAATTGGCAAAATTGCTAAATTCTGACCACTGTACTGGATAGTTGAATTTATAAATGGGTGGTTTCTTGCACCCATTCGATAGAAAAAATGGAGTTCTAGCGAAATATTTATGTTTTTTGTCGACTAGTACAGTGAAATTGGCCGAAAATGGGGATCAAAGTGGGCAAAATCGCCGATCCGTAAACATCGCCGGGACCGCTAACTTTGCGAGAGCATAATTCCGTAAGTTTTCTATCAAATTTCAAACTTTTGGTGTCGTTATGATCGGGAAAAGATTCTCTATCTTTTCATAAGAGAAAATAATTTTTTTTTTTTTTAAATTTGGCCGACCCTGAGAACGAGTTTCGGAGAGGGCCTGTCGACCCTCAAAGGGTTAACCCTTTGGCTGTCGCGGCCATATATATACATCTTACGAGGTACCGTGTTTGATGTATATATACTCATAAATTCTAGCAGGTGGGGATATAGTTTTGGAGTGGTTGGTGCAATTATTTAATAAATGTATGGAAGAGGGTAAGGTACCTAGGGATTGGCAGAGAGCATGCATAGTTCCTGTGTATAAAGGCAAAGGGGACAAAAGAGAGTGCAAAAATTATAGGGGGATAAGTCTGTTGAGTATACCTGGTAAAGTGTATGGTAGAGTTATTACTGAAAGAATTAAAAGTAAGACGGAGAATAGGATAGCAGATGAACAAGGAGGCTTTAGGAAAGGTAGGGGGTGTGTGGACCAGGTGTTTACAGTGAAACATATAAGTGAACAGTATTTAGATAAGGCTAAAGAGGTCTTTGTGGCATTTATGGATTTGGAAAAGGAGTATGATAGGGTGGATAGGGGGGCAATGTGGCGGATGTTGCAGGTGTATGGTGTAGGAGGTAGGTTACTGAAAGCAGTGAAGAGTTTTTACGAGGATAGTGAGGCTCAAGTTAGAGTATGTAGGAAAGAGGGAAATTATTTCCCAGTAAAAGTAGGCCTTAGACAAGGATGTGTGATGTCACCGTGGTT